TACCGCCCAAAAAATATTTTTAACTACATTTGTTACTCAACTTTTGACCAAGGCTACGTTTGCGATGTAACTTTTGAATTAAAATAGTCCATAAAATTTTTTTTAAAAAAAATCTAAAATAATTAATAAAAAAATACCACATTTAAATTATAACCATTTTATTTTTTATTTCATAACCATCAAATCAATTAAAAAAATTAAAAATTATTTTAAACATAAATTTTTTAACCAGACTAAAATAATCAAATAACTAAAAAGCCGAGCTGAAAAAATCCATTCCAAACAAGAACCAAGTGTATGACTTACATCATCAAATCAATGCAGTGGTCTATTAAAAATTGGAATTACAGAGCCATGCACAACTGTTACTTTTGTGTGGATTATAGGGCTCATTTCAAAATTTATTTTGATAATTTAAGTTGTTTATTTTTTTATGATATATTGAGTAGAGATATTTATAAAAAATAAAATTGTTCATTCAATAATCTTTTTATTAAATCACATTTGTATTTAATAATAAGTGTAATTTAAAATATAAAATTGAATATAAATGTGATTGATGAAAGAACTCACTACATTGGATCAAATTGATTTTTTTGAAGGTATGACATTTATAAACAACACAACAATAATTCCTGTGTATGGCGCACAACACCTACCCTAACTCCATTAAAATTGGATAGTTGTGATTAGGAGTGTAAATTGGGCCTGGTCCGGTCCGACTCATGTCGGGTCGCTCAGGCTCTGGCCAAAGTTCGGGCCGGACTGGATCGGCTTAGGGGCTAGAAAATTGGGCCTAGGCACAGGCCTCAGGGTATTCTAACCTTGAGTGGGCGGTATATAATTTTTTTTTTCTTTTTATTTTTCTATTAAAATTTTATTCTTTTCTACTAAAAATGACACCAAGTTTTAGGTGGGCCGGGTTTTGAGCATGTTGATGGGCTGGGCTAGACGGGCCAGGCCCATAGGCTGAGTTGGACTTCAAAATGATGACTTAAGGTCCCGGGTTGGGCTCACCCTAGACTGAAGGCGAATTTGGAGTTATCCACGAGCCTCAAGTCATTTTTATACCTCTAATCATGATGTACATTTTCATAAAAAATTCTACTCCCTCCGTCCCAAAATATTGGTCCCTTTTGGGGAATCTAACTTTTTTTGGTAGTACACTTATTGGATTTGAAAAAAGTTGATTTTCCAAAATTACCCTTTTGATAGTACATTTTTTGGGAATATCAATGTCATAATTGTACTTTTTAAATTGTTTATTAATTTAAAAGAAGGGCAAAATAGGAAATTTACATTATTTTGTACTTGATTTATAAAGAGGGACTAATATTTTGGGACAATGAAAAATGGAATAAAGGACTAATATTTTGGGACGGAGGGAGTAACAAAAAACCCTTTTATAGTCCGATGAAAGGATGCATTGTGGGAGATTTTTTATGTTATTTTGAGGAGGTGATTAAAAATTAATTTTTTATTTGTTAAAAAAAATATAAAAAAGTAATATGACCTAAAATAAATGAAAATTTATAAATAACTTTTAACTATTCTTTTAAAGTAACACTTTATGGGGATGGATCACGTTCCAAAATAACACTTTATAGGGATGGATCACGTTCCAAAATTGAACGGAGGAGAATCTGGAGGAGTGAAAACTAATTATTGCATCACCTGATTAACAAAAGTCCGGTTGTTTGCAGAGTTAGAATGATGGAGATTTATAGTGACGGGGTTTATAATAAGAGAATATTAGTGAGGGTATTGATAGTGAGAAGATTAAGTAAAATTATATTTGTTTTGATAATAGTTGTTAGTGTAGGGGTTATTAAATTATTTTTATATAAAATAAATATAAAACAATAAAATAAATGAAAAAATACAAAAATATTAACATTAATATTTTTAAAAAAATGCCCAATATGTAAAAATTTTTAAATAAATAAATAAAAAAAAAATTTCAGGAAAAAAATAATAATAATAATAATTTTTACTTAACAAAAAATATAAAAAATTAAACATTAATTTTTTAAAAAAATGCCCAACATGTAAACAATAAAATAAAAAACAAATAATTTTTTTTTCTAGTCCGGCAGACTATTTTTCTAATACCAAGTCTTGAAGGCCCATCTAAATCCCCTTGGAGAGGTCCATCCGAATCCGGAACTCACTATCATTCCCTCTCCATCTCTCAAAACAAACACAATGTTAGTAAATCTCACCTCACTACCAACCTCAATCCCCCCTCTAACTGTCCAAACAAACGGGGCCAAAGTCCTATTCAAAATGGATGGTCAAGAATCTATAGCAGTGGAAAACTTGTAGGTGGTTGGACACGTTTGTTTTCAGAGGTAGAATAGAAGGAATTTATAATGAAGGGATTAATAATGAAGGGATTAATAGTGAGAGAATTAAATAAAATTGTGTTTGTTTTGATGATAGTTGTTAGTGTAGGAATTGTTAAGTTATTTTTATATAAAATAATAAAACAAATAAAAAAATACAAAAAATAAATATTAATGTTTAAAAAAATACCCAACATATAAAAAATAAATTTTTTTTTTTAGTCCCCTCACTATTTTTCTAATACCACCTCCACCTCCACCTCTTCTCTCCCAATCACTCTTTTAACCTCCATCTTAATCCACTCCTCCATCATAATCCATTCCCTAACTCTACAAATAAACACAGTACTAAATGAGCCCCACCTCCATCCTAATCACATCCTACTATCTACACCCTAAAACAAACAGGGCCCTTGGGACACACACACAATGGGTGTTTGGCAAAAGTTATTTTTTATCTTTTGAGATAAAATTTACAAAAGAATAAAATAGATTAAAATAATTAATAAAACAAAATATTATATCAAATCTATAATCATTTCATTTTTTTTCATATAAACATCATATCAAAATACAAAAAAATTTAACTATCTTTTAAAATATAATGGGTAGTTTTTGGTTAATGGGTAATTTAACCAAAAATTTAAGGGCAAATTACAAACACCTCCTCGAGGTTTGGTGAAAATACAAATTCTCTCATGAGGTTTGAGAAATTACAAATTGCCCCATGAGGTCTAATTTTCATAACAAATTAGGGGAAATTAGAAGGAAATCTGTATGAAAATAAAAATCTCAGGGGGCAATTTGTTATGGAAATATAAACCTCAGGGGGCGGGATGTAATTTCTTAAACCTCAAGGAGGAATCTGTATTTTCACTAAATCTCGAGGGAGGTGTTTGTAATTTGCCCAAAATTTAACTATCTTTTAAAAATTTAAGTATCCCATAAGTAGATTTTAGGGGTACTTATGTGGGTAATTTTAGAGGTAATTACATGTAAATCTTAATAAGTGGATTTTATTATTTAATAGGTCTTATGAAAAAAAAAATTATCATAAAAAAAATTATTACTTGTAAGTTTTAGCGATAATTTATAAAAATCATAAAAAAAATCACTAATGAGTATTAATTTTTAGCGACATATATAAAAATTATCACAAAAAAATATTTTTAATAATAATTTTACAAAAAATTATTTTAATAAGACTTGATAAAAATTAAATATAACTATTAAAATTTATTACTAATTTATTCAAAATTTTAATTTACTAGAATAGTCAAAAACCTAAAAGAACAACCTATAAATACCCACGAGATAAGACTGTTTAACATGTTGGCACACTAGCGGTCGATTCGAGTTCTGAATTCTGACCGACGCGGGACCCATCCCCCAAAAAAACCATAAAAATAGTCTTAAAATTGAACTGCAAAGACAGAGTTCAAACACAGGCACACCATCGAAAGTGCAGACAAACCTTCCCTTCTCTTCTCCGCACGACCAAAATCTTCACAATTTCATAAATTTTAGAGAGAGAAGAAAGAGTTTTAGAGAGAGAGAGAGAGATGAAAGCGCCGGAAGTGTCGTGCTGTGGGTCAACGTTCGCGCTGTATGTGTTGATAGTGATAGGACTTGTTGCCTTCGCTGGTCTCATGGCTGGTCTCACTCTCGGACTCATGTCTCTCGGCCTCGTCGACCTCGAAGTCCTCATGAAGTCCGGCCGTCCCAAAGATCGCATCCACGCCGGTATGGGTGTTGGGCAAAAGTTATTTTTTATCTTTTGAGATAAAATTTACAAAAGAATAAAATAGATTAAAATAATTAATAAAACAAAATATTATATCAAATCTATAATCATTTTATTTTTTTTCATATAAACATCATATCAAAATACAAAAAAATTTAACTATCTTTTAAAATATAATGGGTAGCTTTTGGTTAATGGGTAATTTAACCAAAAATTTAAGGGCAAATTACAAACACCCCCTCGAGGTTTGGTGAAAATACAAATTCCTTCATGAGGTTTGAGAAATTACAAATTGCCCCATGACGTCTAATTTTCATAACAAATTAGGGGAAATTAGGGGAGAATCTGTATGAAAATAAAAACTTCAGGGGGCAATTTGTTATGGAAATATAAACCTCAGGGGAAGGGATGTAATTTCTCAAACTTCAGGAAGGAATCTGTATTTTCACTAAATCTCGAGGGAGGTGTTTGTAATTTGCCCAAAATTTAACTATCTTTTAAAAATTTAACTATCCCATAAGTAGATTTTAGGGGTATTTATGTGGGTAATTTTAGAGGTACTTACATGTAAATCTTAATAAGTAGATTTTATTGTTTAATAGGTCTTATGAAAAAAAAATTATCATAAAAAAAATTATTAATTATAAGTTTTAACGATAATTTATAAAAATCATAAAAAAAATCATTAATTATTAATTTTTAGCGACATATATAAAAATTATCACAAAAAAATATTTTTAGCAATAATTTTACAAAGAATTATTTTAATAAGACTTAATAAAAATTAAATATAACTATTAAAATTTATTAATAATTTATTCAAAATTTTAATTTATCAAAATAGTCAAAACGTAAAATAACAACCTATAAATACCCACGAGATAAGACTGTTTAACATGTTGGCACACTAGCGGTCGATTCGAGTTCTGAATTCTGACCGACTCGGGACCCATCCCCCAAAAAAACCATAAAAATAGTCTTAAAATTGAACTGCAAAGACAGAGTTCAAACACAGGCACACCATCGAAAGTGCAGACAAACCTTCCCTTCTCTTCTCCGCACGACCAAAATCTTCACAATTTCATAAATTTTAGAGAGAGAAGAAAGAGTTTTAGAGAGAGAGAGAGAGATGAAAGCGCCGGAAGTGTCGTGCTGTGGGTCAACGTTCGCGCTGTATGTGTTGATAGTGATAGGACTTGTTGCCTTCGCTGGTCTCATGGCTGGTCTCACTCTCGGACTCATGTCTCTCGGCCTCGTCGACCTCGAAGTCCTCATGAAGTCCGGCCGTCCCAAAGATCGCATCCACGCCGGTACTCTCTCTCTCTCTCTCTCTCTCTCTACTTATAGCAATTCAAATTTGGGTCTTGTGCCTTTAGATTGTTAATTCTGATTGGGTTTTGATCAATCTACGAGCTTGCCCATTTTTTTGTTTGAGCTCAAAAATGTCTATTGTGGGAAAGCTATCATGTTTGGATTTCAAGACTGAGTCAACTCACTGAGTTCTGAATCAAAAGTGGAGCTATACCTTATTTGGCTTAGGTTTTGAGTACTGATTGATGGAAGGAATTGAATTTATAACTGATGATGGTGTGTGTGAGGCCCAGCTTGTGCTGATTTTGGGAACTGAGTGACCTAACTGAGATTTCATAATTGGAAAGTGCTATACAAACAAAACAAAAAAAAATTACATCTTTTAAAAAAAACCAAACCAAACATGTTTTCGTACTTTTTATCTCTAAAACACATCTCTCAAACACAAACCAAACATACCCATCATGTTTTGATTTCAGGACTGAGTCAACTCACTGAGTTCTGAATCAAAAGTGGAGCTATACCTTATTTGGCTTAGGTTTTGAGTACTGATTGGTGGAAGGAATTGAATTTATCACTGATGATGGTGTGTGTGGGGCCCAGCTTGTGCTGATTTTGGGAACTGAGTGACCTAACTGAGATTTCATAATTGGAAAGTGCTATACAAACAAAACAAAAAAAAATTTACTAACTTTTCTTACAAACTGATGTGGCATGGAGTGATACAATTTTGAAATGTGAAATGAGGCACAACTTACTACTAGGTGACACATCAGTTTGTAAGGAAAATTTGTTTGAAAAGTTTGTTTGTATAACACTAGTCTTCATAATTAGGCAGTGGAGAATGTGGGATTTCACTTAGAAATAAATTCCAAAATCTCAAATCAATTTAATAGAAGAAAATAACAACAATTGTGTACTTATCATTGATGGAGATCATTTAAGTGGTAGATTTTATTGGTGATTATTGTCTTTCACTTCAGAATCCTACTACCTCTCCCGTTATCTCTCACCTATGAAGCACGAGTACAGGTATAAGTATTGGTACGATACGGGTACGTCGATACGGTAAAATTTAAAAAAAAGTAGGATTCGAGTACGGCTTGGTACGCTCGTAAAAAAATATTTATTTTTAATTTAGAGTAATGTAAAAATTAATTAAATAGTTTAATTTGTTAAGATTCAACCTGTAATTAACATTTAATACCAAAAGTAAAGGTATAAATCAAAATTAAATGTCAGTATATTAAATAACTTACAAACCATAGTTTAATTTTAAATCATGCTATGTATAAAATTAAAAATAAAAAGAAGTCTAGTGAAAGGAGTTTTATCTCTATAGTAGAAAAAAATATTGTTTCAAATTATGAAGTACGGACACGGACACGGACACAGGGATACGCAAATTTTAAAAAAATGGGGGAAACGACACGTTGGGGACATGTTTAATATATATAGTTTTTTTTTATTTATTATATATCTAAAATAAAAAAAAATCATTAATTTTTACACAATTATAATAATAATAAAATTAATAAACGTAGTTTTTAAAAAAATTTAATAAAAAAATGAGTGTTTTTAAATAAAAATAATTTATTTTATAAATTTTAATCTTAACAAAAATAAAGATAAAAAAAAGAAACAAGAAAAAAGAAAAAAAAAAGAGTGAAGGAAATAAAAGGGGAGAGAGAGAAACGGGTGAAATAAAAAAAGAGGGGAAAGTGAATCAGCAAAGAGGGAAGTGAAATCAAAGAGAGAGAGAACAGGAGAAGGAGAAGTCGAAGAAGACGAAGGAGAAGAAGATGGAGACAGAAGATGAAGAGGACGAGGCGAAGAAGAAGAGAGCAGACAAATACCTCAGCTTCTTCATTGAACTGAACAGGTTAGGCTCCTCTCTTCTCCTCCCTCTATCTCTTTCTCTGTCTCTATCTGTCTCCTCTCATCTCCTCTCTCGATCTCTGTCTTCTCTCCTCCCTTGATCTATTTCTCTGTCTCCTCTTCTCCCTTGATCTCTTTCTCTGTCTCCTCTTCTCCCTCGATCGCTTTCTCTCTTTATCTCTTTCAGTTAGGGTTCTCTCTTTCTCTCTTTCAGTTAGGGCTTCGATCCACCTCAAGCGTGTTCGGAAAGTGTCACAGCGTGTCCATGGCGTCTCTGATTGCAAAAATTAAAAAAAAAAGAGGACGCGTTAGAGAGAGTGTCGGACACGTGTCCACCGCGTGTCCGACGCGTGTCCGTGTCCGACACGTGTCCGACACTCGTACGCAGGCCCTGAGGACGTGTCGGTGCTTCATAGGTTTCAACTGAGGTACGGTACGACTTGAGTATATACTAGGTACGTCTGGGTATGCCAAAAATTTAAAAGAAAAAATTTGGATATGTTTTTTGTATACGTGGAGTACTATACGAGGTACTATATGCCGGTAAGTACCTGGTTCAGTTACGGCATGTTTTTCAAAGTACCCATGCTTCATAGTCTCTCACACACCGAACACTGATGGGAAAATATGATATGGATCTAGGGTTGGCGTGAGAACCTTAATCACATATTTATAAAGTCTCAATTACATATTAGTCCATCATAAATAAATGGAATTATAAGTGGGCCTAAAATGTTCTCTATACATGATTTAGCCCATACTCCTTTAGTCCATATAACATGACAACTATTATGTGTTATTAGAGATCTGTTCATGACCTAGTCATGTTTCTGTATGTATCATAATTTAATGGGTTTAACTAACACCACTCATATTTCATTTACCAGTATACAATGTATAATTATTTGATCTATATAGGCCCACCTACAAAAAAATTCCTTACAGAAAAACCTAAATACCCAATTTGCAAAGTTGAATATGTGTGGTTTTATTATTATTATTATTATTATTATTATTATTATTATTATTATTATTATTATTATTATTATTATTATTATCAGTAGTTTTTTGAAGTGTTTTCTTTGTTTATGTCAGCTAAGATATTTCCAGTTGTGAAGAATCAACACCTTTTGCTCTGTACCTTGTTGATTGGCAACTCTTTAGCAATGGAGGTTTGTTAAAATTCATTCAACCGACTAATACTAATACTAAATTGTTTATTTCACTCCAAATTTAACCTTTTTTTTCTTTTTGTTTTTTTTTTTTTTGGTCCGTGTAGTCCCTTCCCATATTTTTGAACAAGCTTGTGCCTCCGTGGGCTGCAATCCTGATCTCAGTAACTCTCATCCTCGTGTTTGGAGAGGTGAGATATCAATAACATGAAAATAAATTGGTCATGGTTTTGTTTCTCATGGTACCATATGATCCTCAAAGTTATTTTGATCGCAGATACTGCCTCAAGCGATTTGTACCCAATATGGGTTGACTGTAGGAGCAACTGTGGCACCTTTAGTCCGTGTTCTACTCTGGGCGTTCTTCCCTGTTGCTTATCCGATTAGTAAGGTATACATGCTTGAATTATTAAGGCATAATTGATGCGTTTAGTTATGTTATGTGTATTTTTTTCTATGTCTATAATTTGAGTTTTATGCAGCATGGGGTATTTTTTATTTTTATTTTTATAGGAAGTTGAATTGAATTTCTATTTTTGGTTGCTGATAAATGTAGAAAAATTAAAGTAACTAAAATTTTTATGCATTGAAGCCTACATTTGATACTAGGACCTTTTATTTTCTTTTGCTTCTTGTCATTTTTTTTTTATTAATCTAGAATGACATAATACATAAAACTTAATATTTTATTTTTTCGTTCTCATTCTTTGTGTTCATCACTTAGACACATATAAACATATATAAGTTTGAACAAAATAACTTAGAATATAATGATAAAAAGAAAAGACAATATAGATTTATAATTGTTAGTCCTCTTCCATTGAACTTTAAGTAGTGTTATGTTGAATATTTTTTATTTTATTTGAATAAACTATTCATATATATGACATATAATAAATATATAAAGCTATATATTTTGTGTGTCTCCCAAATGTAACGTGATGCATTTTTCTGAAAATTATCGTGTTGGCATCTCTATGCCGTGTTTTTGCTGCGTGTCTTGCTTCTTAGATTGTTACTCTTTTCTTTTGATTGAGCAAATATGTCGCCCTCAAATCACCCCCTTCTTGTTGACATCCTATGTAGGTTTTGGATTGGATGTTGGGGAAGGGACATGCTATTCTTTTACGCAGAGCAGAGCTCAAGACATTTGTGAATTTTCATGGCAATGAGGTATTCAATTTGACTTAAAAGTTCCAGACATTGAGTTGTTTAATATAATTATTTTTTTTAATGAATTTTTATTTTTCCTCTTTCATCTGTTTTATTAATCTCTTGCTTGAAATTTTTCCTTGAGCCATTTGTTTTGAGGAGATCATTAGCCTTATGGCTTATAGTTTTATCCTCTTTTTAACCCTCTCCATATCTTTATCATAGCTGAATTATGGTGTGTGTGCTTTTTCATTGATTAGGCTGGGAAAGGTGGGGATTTAACGCATGATGAGACAACTATCATTGCTGGGGCACTTGAATTGACTGAAAAGACAGTGAAAGATGCCATGACCCCCATAACGAAGGCATTTTCCCTTGATCTGGATGCAACTCTTACTTTGTGGGTTTATTGCTTGTTTTTTGATCTACTGTTACACCTGGTGAAATCCTTTTATATTCTAACATCTCTTCTATCTCTGTGCTTAGGGACACATTGAATGCAATAATGACAAAGGGTCATAGTAGAGTTCCTGTTTATTCTGGAAATGCAAAAAATATCATTGGTCTTGTCCTGGTAATATTTTTTTCTTTTGGCATGTCGATCATATTTCTGCATAATTAAAGCAACATATATTTTGCCTCTACTCCAATTAATCCACTTTGGTTAATAGCGTTAAGTTTTCCAGATCATATATATGCATGGTTAAGAGCGTAGAGGGTAAATCAAATGAAAGTATTGTGATATTGTGCTTAAATAATGTTTCAGCTGTAGTATTAATTATTCTACATATCATGGGTGCTACCTTTAACCATGTTTTGGAGCTGAGTCAGCTGACTACTTCAAACAAGTGTAGGATCAGCTGAGGTCAATAGAGGTCAAAACCTTATGGAGTATATGTTGTAATCATGGTTGTTAGAATCATACGATTCACGATTCGATTCATACGATTCAATTTGAGTTTCAACCAAAACATTTCGAATCGTGCTATTGAATAAGAATTTGAGTGAATCATGTGATTTAATTTGTCGTTTACTATGATTCATTGTGATTCACTGCGATTTAGTTATGTTTTTGTTTACATAAAGCATGAAACGTCGTGTTCGGCTCTCTAGCAAGAAATAAAAAAATCAATTAGTTATGTCATGATATGTAATTTTATATGTATAGACTATAGACTAGAGACATACATACAATTCAATTATATTAATATTTACTTTTATTTTAAACAAAGTGTATTTTTGTATGTATGTGTATATATCTATATATATATATATATAAAATTATATCTATATTAAATAAAGTGAATCTTACGATTCATGATTCGATACAATTCACAATTCACTATTTTAGCAAAATGATTCATGTTTCAAATCATGATTGATAACAATGGTTGTAATAAGGGCATCAATTAACTGCAAGGATGTTTATGGCGCCTCATCGTTTTTGCATGGTCACCCCACAAAGCCTTGATTTAAGCAAAACGACATGAAGTTGACTTTAAAGCATTGGTGATCTTGAACCCTAAATCTTTGATCTCATGTTGGCAGCAACTCTGATCGGTCAAAAAAAAAAAAACCAAGGAATCCCTTTTCCTAATAATAAGATGGCATAATAGGATTTGTTTACCTGACCCTGCTTTAGTTTATTGTGGTTAATTGAATTGATTGAATTTTCATATGATAAACTGTACTGATTGATATTTGAAGTGGTAGATTGAAATTTTGATCGTACTTCTAGTTTTTAATTGACTGCCTGATCCTTCTTTCTTATGCAATAACATAGTCAATCCAGGCTTCTCCTCAAATTAGATTTTACTTTCGTAGCGCACCCTGTTTTATGTATGTATTTTATGGATGATATGTATTCTGTTCTTTATGGTTTACATGTGGACTAAATTTGTCATCTCTAACACCTGTAGGTTAAAAATCTCTTAGCAGTTGACCCAGAAGATGGAGTTCCTCTCAGAAAAATGTTATTAAGAAAAATTCCTCGGTAAGAATGAATCTCATTTCTCATGCATCTTTTATCGTGTGAGAAAAGTCACTGTTTCTTTTGACTCTTTTGAGTTAATAGGATATCTCTCATCACTGTTAATTTTGATTTAATAGGATATATATGGCCCTTTAGAGTGCATGGTGCAAAGAAAGAGTATTAACCTGTCCGACTAGTTCAGATAGCATTATTTTGTCAGTTGAGATAAAACTTAGTTGTATCAGCCTTCAAGGAGTCAATTGTGCCATGACATGTCTAGAGTTGTGGGCTTTTAGCATGAGGTGTGTCGTGAGTTCCTGTAATTTGGAAGAGTGATGTCCTTAGGATGGTTTGCATCTTGAATCAATTATTTGAGAAAGTGTAAAAGTAATACTAGTCATCCCTAGTAAAATTAGTTGAATAATTAGGCAGATCAAAACTTCTTACTTATATTAGTTGAGGACTAAGAAGCATGGACACAGACTTGGACATGTGACACAATACGGATATGTAGACTTGCAAATTTTTAAAAAATGCACGACACAACACGCCGGAGACACATGCAAAGCATATAATTTTTCATATTTATTGTATGTCATATTTTTTAATGGGACTTAAGGTTTGGTTTCGTTTATTGTATGTCATATTTTTAATATTATATATTTATTTTATATCAAACATTTTATGTCATCAAATTCATCGACCTTGTGTATGCTATTCTGGTAGAAAAATTTATTTTATATTTTTTTAAATAGGACACAATGTGTTCCCAACTTGTCCCAAGTGTCCCAGTGTGTCCGACATGTGTAGGGTGAGGAGGGTTGAAACTGGGTATCTAGTTTGGGATTTATGTTTGCTGAAGGGACTACAATATGTACACCCTGCCTCCTTGTGTGGTTTCGTGATGATATTTCTTACATAAATTAGGATCAGTTCAACTCAACATGCCTTTATCCCAATTAATTCGATTAATGAGGATCAACTGGATTCTTAACTGGTGTTCTTCAGGATTATGTGGTGGTAGTTGAAATTAAAAAGTTCTTTTGCTCCCTGCTCATGACTAAAGGCAATAATGGATGTGAACCATTTTTGGTGGAGCTGATTACATTATGCTTTCTCCATATCTGCCATAGGGCCTAGTACCTGTTTAATCATTGTATTATCATTTCTTTCTAGAATAAATATTTTACAGCAACCCTGATTGTTGTAATTGCATGCACATCTTATTTAAGTATGTAACCAATATATATGACATTAAATTATGAAATAGAATTGTTGCACAATAATGTGTATTAAGTACACGTGTATATATTAAGTAATACTCTATTTTTTAAGAAAAGGCAGTTTATTTAATATCCTTGTGTCTATTTTCTTCTGTATTCTTCAGGGTTTCTGAGAACATGCCTCTTTATGATATTCTGAATGAATTTCAGAAGGGTCACAGCCACATCGCTGTTATATATAGGGACCTGAATGAGACAAAAGACAGTTTAAAGAAAACTGAAGAAGGTGAATACTTGGACTCCTGATATACTTCAATCCCCATGTTTAATACTTGCTTGCTGAAGAGTTCTACTGAAGATTGAATTTAAGATTTTGTTACAAATTGAAAGACTTTTTTCCCCTTCTCCTTGACGTTTTATTGAAAATCTTGCAATTTCCCCAATCATTGATAGCTTGACATATTTTATTGATGGGAAATTCTATTTGCATACCTTCACTCTCAGTACACACCATCACCCAATTTTTTTTTAATAACAATTTTGTCCTACAATCAAATGACCTTTTTTGACAAATTTATAAACCCTAATTTCTCCATACACACCACCACTACCACCAGCCTCTGGCTGTCGTCCCCAACCGCTGCCTTTGGCTTCCGTTCCCCTCTACCATTGCAGCCCAATCTCTATCGACGATGACCCATAGTAGTCCCTACCGCCATTACTAGCAGAGAGATTTGGGAAACACAGATCTAGGGTTTGAAGAAGAGAAGAAAAGGAAGAAAAAGAAGAAAAGAGGGGAGAGGTTGGCTATGGAGGTTGAGATGAGGTAGGGAAGATGAGGCAGGGGTGCCAGAGTGTGAGGCGGTAGTGTGATTGCAATCGCAACATAGGGCGGCACGATTGCAATTGCAATGGAGATTGACGCGGTGACAAGTAGTGGGAGTCGGAGAAGAGGGCTGGAGAAGGGGGCTGGAGAAGGTCACCAGAGCGGGAAGAAGGCTGGGGAGGAGAAGCGGCGATTGATAGTAGCGGCGAGTGGTGATGTTGGAGTTAGGGTGACGTTGGCGTCTGGGGAGATACTGGTGATGTATGCTTTGCTTGATTGAGGCGGTAAGAGAGGAGGGAGGCTGTGGAGGGGCGATGACCGGAGGCAAGGGGCACTGTTGTCGGCAGTTGTTGCTGCCAACGACGGTAGTGGTTAGGGTTTGGGTTTTGGTTTATTAAGGAAGAGGGTCATTTGATATTATTTACAATACAAGGGAGTAATGAGATAAAATCAAACTTTTCAATTTAGGTGTGGTGTGAATTGAGCAAATAAGAGAATATGGTGTGAACTGAGAGATTTAGTGGTGTGTAAATTGAATTAACCCTTATTGATCTCTCTCTCTCTCTCCAACTTTAAAAAAATTTTGAACTTGTTAATCTGGTCTTAAAAAATGTCTCGTGTTATCCATTTTATCCCCTTGTGGTATACGTATACCTTAGAGTAGTTTACCCCCTCGTCTTTTAAAAATAGCCAAAATCCCTCACATTTTGGGACTAAAATGCAATGTTAACACCGTTAACCTAAGAAGTATGGACATGGACACGTGACACGACATGAATATTACATGGACACGCCAACATGACATTTTTCAAAAAATGCAAGACACGACACGTGAGGGACATGCATAAAATATATAATTTTATATATTTATTGTATGTAAGCCGACCCCATTTGATATAACTTAAGGCAAGGCTTGGTTTGGTTTGGTTTGGTTTGGTACTGTATGTCATATATATGAATATATCATTCTAAGATAATAAATAAAAGTAATATAACACTAATTTCTATAAATTGATATTATTTTTCTTTTATCATCGTGTTGTAAGTTATTTTGTTCAAACTGATAATTAGTTGTGTTTAAGCAAAGGACACGTGTGACCTCCAAGTATCCAAAGAGTATCCGAGTCTAATTTTTTTTTAAAAAAATAGGACACGTTTGGAGGAGTGTCCAACACGTGTCGGTGTTTGACATGGACAGGACACCGACATGCCACCTTTTTAAAAGTGTCTGTGCTTCTTAGCCGTTAACGAAAAATTTAAAATAACTTCAATACCCTCTATTTTTTCTTGTTCATTCTCTTATATCTTCTCTTTTTTTCTTCTCTATTAGAGATGTGCATATATATATATATCCGTAATATCTTTGCACTAGAGGCCTTAAAATTTCTACCCATTTTCTCCCAAACAGTTTACCCAAGAATCTTATTGTGGCAATTCATGGCATCTGAATCACAAACCTTAAAGAAAAAAAAAAAAAAAAAAATGGCAAATTTTGGGTGTGAAGGCAGTAGACCAAGGAGCAATGCCGGCATGTTAGATATTTGGCCACAAATTAATGAGCGCTGGGTCTTGGATGCTCTGAACCACTTGATGAATAGAAGAAAACCATTAGTTTTGTGCACAAATTTGTCACAATTTAGAATGCACATCAAATTGCTCTTTGTTGTGATGGAAGGATCATAGAGCTATGGACCCACTGAATTATTGGACTTGCATATTTTCTGTTGAACAAAAATCAAGGCATATTGGATTAGTTGGGGTGGTAGTTGAAGGGAGAGGGAGTGGTTGGTGAGGTGAGAGGGGTGGTGGCAGTGGCGGGGGGGGGGTGGCTGGTAGGGGCTAAGGGCTGACAGAAGGGAGGTGGTTATGTGAGGTGAGATGGTGTGGCAGGGGTGGATGAGGGAAGAGGGAGTAGTGGAAGTGGTGGTTCAGGTGAGATGGGGTGGCGGATGGAGAGGGAGGAGGGAGGGGGTGGCAGGGAAGGTTGGTGGCAGCAGGTGGTGGCTAGAGGTTGCTTGGTGGTGGGGGTGGTTGTGCTTTTTTTAGAGTTTTTTGGGTAAGGTTTTTGGTGAAGAAAATGGTTAGGGTTAGGGTTATGGTTATGTTTTTGTGGAAGAAGATGAAGATAAGGGGATATTTGTTCTTTCACATTGTATTTTGACTTTAACTAAAAAATTGTTTGACATGTCAACTCTCAACTTAGGTACCCCTGAGGTTAGCTTGAATGGTTAGTCTCCAGGATTCTATTCAAGAAGTCTGAGGCTCGACTCTCTGCCAGTTTGCCCAGTTTATAGGCTTATGGGGTGGCCTCTGGACCCCAAGTTTACACACCTGGAGGGGATCCAAAGGACACTACCTAGACCGAGTTCTCAGTCATTAAAGAAAAGAATAATAAAATAAAATCTCAACTTATGCACTTACGCACTTGTAGCACAAATTTCATTAATTTGGTCTGAATTATTTACCTATTTTTAAAATACAAGGAGGTAAATTGCTCCGATACTATACTACAGAGGGAAACATGGATTTTACCTTTTATTCTTATGTTGAACTCTCAACTTGCACTGTTTTTCTTTTCCCCTCTAAATTTTATAGCTTAATCTACTGCTGCATTTATCATTTTTCATCAATTGTGAGCTATGATGATTGAAACTGCCAGTTGGGTTCTGTTTCCTTTTATTCTTATATTGAACTCTCAACTTGCACCGTTTTTCTTTTTCCCCCTAAATTTTATAGCTTAATCTACTGCTGCATTTATCATTTTTCATCAATTGTGAGCTATGATGATTGAAACTGTCAGCTGGGTTCTGTGTGCCTGGCATCCTTTCCGTCATCTGATATCTTATATATGACTGTTTTACCTTGTGGGATATCAGAAAATCATGAGATGGACCCTGCTGCTCGTATGCAAAAGCTGGGGATGAAATTTGAGTCGCATGATGCTGACATGGTGATCCTGGCTAAAAGTGAAGGCGATCAACAGAAAAAGAAAAGTCCTCTGCCTACTCCTGCTTTTAAGAAGCGACACAGAGGTTGTTCATTCTGTATTTTAGATGTGGAGAATGTTCCCATTCCTGTATTCCCACCCAATGAAGAGGTTGTGGGTGTAATCACTATGGAGGATGTCATTGAGGAGCTTCTTCAGGTATACTGAAGTTTTGGATCCTACAGTATGTGGACATCTTGAACCCAGTAAACTATCAGTTGGTCATATGATTTTTCTAATGCACCTTCCCTACATAGATATCACCATGATAATTATTATGGAAATAGGAATGATAATCATCGTGATGCAAGCCTGATCTGTTTAGGGCAGGCTGTGTGGTCATGATCTTTCAAATGCACTAATAAACTATGGACCATGCGTATTGGTATTGGTACAGTACGAGTATGACAATATAGTAAAATCTAAAAAAATAGGATACGAGTATGGCTTGGATGTTCCAAAAAAAAATTATTTTAAATTTAGAGTAATGCAAAAATTAGTTAAACTAATTGGTTAAGATCCATCGTACAATTTACATTTAATGTCAAAAGTAAGGTATAAACCAAAATTAAATGTTATTATGTTAAATAATTTACAAACCAAAGCTTAATTTTAAAGTCCTGCTTAGCATAAAAAATAATTTAAAAATATAAATCAATGGAACTAACTTCACCTCTGTATGGGCTTGGGTATATATTAGGTAACTTTGAGGTATGACAAAAATTCTAAAGAAAAAATTTGGGTACATGTTTCGTGTACCCAATATGGCATGTTTGTCAAAGTACCCGTGCTTCATAGGTAATGATAATCATCATGATTCAAGCCAGTCCTATTTGTCAATAGGGCATGCTGCGTGAACATCCTCTTTTGAATTCACTCTATTAGAAAGGTACATGTGCAACTTGTGTAAGCTCCATTTTGAGGATGCTGTTGCAGATAATTATCTGAGGATATAAGATCTCTAGTGAGAAGTAACAATTTAGAGTTGCTTATAAAAGAATCACCCTTCTTCAATTAGAGGAACTAGAGTATCTTTAATTTGATTTGGTTTGTGGGACATTGAAACAGGGAATTGCCCTGTGGTTTGGCTGTTTCAACTTTTAACGATTTCTTTTGTCTTCTCCAACACCTGATTACTTATATTTTTGTATTTTTCTAAACCTCTTTGTTAATGTCTTTATTATTACTTATTACACTACACTTCCTAAACTTCTTTTGGGGTATCGCTTTTGCTTTGGTCTTCTTGTCATTTTGAAGTGAACAGTTAACGATATGAATTGCGACTCACCCTTCCAATCAGTTCACCTCCTGTTTGGTTTTGAATAATGCTACTTGAAATAACACTTTGCTTTATTGTTTGGGTAAATTAAACTGACCTCTCCTTAGATTTGGAGAAAATATAGTAAGCCCCCCACAAATTTGGCAGAATTACATTGGCTTCCCTTAACGTTTTAAATTGCATAAAACTTAGCCCTCTTTTCCTTAGTAATTTGTTAGTCATGAACATGAAAAATGATTTTCTCTCTTTTAACTGAAATGTATGTTTTACCTCGTTTAACTTTTTGTGCTCATGCCTAAGAAGCACGGACACCGACACTCTTTGGACACTTCCCTGACATGTGTTCGACACTTTTCAAAACATGTCCTATTTTTTAAAGATCTAGACATTCTTTAGACACTTGGAGGACACACGTATGTATCTCTGAAACACACATGTCTATCGATTAGACACATGTGAAACTAATTATAAGTTTGAACAAAACAACTTAAGATACAATAATAAAACAAAACCATATAAATTTATAGGAATTAGTGTCATTGCATTTTTTATTATCTTTGAATGATATATTCATATTATGTAATATATAATAAATATATAAAATTATATATTTCATGTGTGTCCCCCACGTGTCGTGTCTTGCATTTTTTAAAAATTAGCTTGTTGGTGTGTCCGTGTCGTGTCGTGCCGTGTCGTGTGTCCGTGTCTTATCTTCTTAGGTTCATGCCATCTGCATTAGATCTTGTTCCTTAAACCTTATTAAAAGGAAGGTTGGTGTAATTATGCGAAAACTATGGGGCTTGTTGAATTTTCTTCAATCCTTATGGGAGGCGAGCATAATTTACCCTTATTGTTTTATAGTGATACTAACCAATCTCATTTCTCATATATTTTGTTGTTTCAGGAGGAGATATTGGATGAGACTGATGAATATGTAAATATTCACAACAGGTAAAAAATTGGCAGCTGTTTCTCGCATCCTTCATTTAAATTCACCTTTTGCATGCAAATGCAAAGCCTCTTTTGAGTTGGGCCATCGGTCTCTGCCGCTGCTGTGAGGTGAAACTGTGGGAGATTATGGAGGGGCCATGGTCTCCCCCTAAATTTTTTTTTTTTGAAACCTATTGAGTACTTGACCCAAATCCTGGAAATACATACTATGGTCATTGTACGCACGTCACAGTTCCGGAGGGTTCTGCCCCCGTCATCATCTTTTTCTAAAGAATCAGGACAATGGAGCTAATGAAATGCTCCTGTTTTCATTAAAACATTGATTTGGCTAGTGTTAGTGAATAGCAATCAAACCATGGATTCAGACACATGAACATGGAGAAAATGACTCAACATAGATAAATATTATGGTTAAAATGAATGACATTTGGTTGTAATGCAGGATAAGGGTGAACATGCATGCATCCTACGAAAAGCTTCCTCATCTAAGCTCACCACAACAATCTCCCATCTCTTCTCTCCCAGCAGCTCCTGCTCCTACGCCTAGTAACTCGATTTCCACCACTTCTTTACAATAACAGCGACACCCTTTGCAACCCTGGAGTTTCTGAAGGAGGCTTGTTAATGGAGCGGTTATACTCTTTGTTCTTTGTATGATATGGCTAAATTTAGGTTCGTTAAAATATCAGAATCTAGGGTGGAAGTCTAGTAAGAGTTACTCTAGTTGATTGATTACAAAGATGTCTCACCCTTGCTTGGATATGCATGGTAGGTTGCTCTGAAGGATGTATTGTGATTGTAGAATGCTACACTTGTTGGTTGAGATTCCGATGCAGAATATATATATTGACTTTTTGGTCAAATAAGCAGAATATTAAAAAATATTGTTTGAAATTCATTTGGATTGGCAGACACAATGGCTAAGCACAGGGTCAAGTAGAGGTAGATAAATTAGCTATTTTCAGTTAATTTTTTGAAGTTTAGTAGCTCTTTGGGTATCTTCATTACTCTAGCTAAGGTACTAGACAATCTCAACGTTGTTTTGATTATTTTGAATAATTCAAACTTGACAGCATGAAGTTTGTATTTAAATCATTTGATATGATCTTCATGCATATATATATATATATATATATTTACTCAGTGGATCAGCGATTTGTTGCTTTTTCGTGTGTGCGCTCGTGTGTTTTTGGTACATATTTGTTGCTTTGCATTGGTATTGGTGAAGTTCAAATTGCTTTGCATCAGTCTTAGTAAAGTTTTTGTAGTCTAATCTGATGCATATTCATTTAGTGGAAGTTAATGTGTTTAAACTTTTAATATTCATTTAGTTTGGCATTGAATACAAATTCTCCATATTTTCATCTTATTGGGGTTTGACCATCGGCATAGTAAATAATAAGATGAAGTTCTTTTCGTTTATGATACATTTTAGGGCAAATTTCATTTTACCCTCGTATGGTTTATGCCATGTGTGGATTACTCACAAACTTTTGAATATCACTACATAACTCCCCTGCGGTTGATGGAGCAAAGTGCACTGTTAACTTTTCTGTGTATTCTAACCGGCTGTGCAATGCACGCGAGTGTGGTGCAGTTGGGCATGGAAATATAATTTTTTCTCCGAATTAAATGACTAAAATGCCCTTATCTTCATCATCAATTTCCAAAGAATACTCTCATATTATTTTCTTCATCTTCATCGTCAGATCTGGAAATGTGATGATTTGGATTTTGTTCTCTTTCTCTTCATTTCTTATTATTTCTTACCAAATTACTCCATTAATTCAGCACAAGAGTTAAAACACTTGGCAACAACAGTTTCAAGTAGATGTATAAGTTCATGCGATTAAGTCAATACATTGAGTGTTAATGATTGAGAAGAAATCGAAAGAAAATTGTTTCCAGGACTGGTGGCATTGGCAGCACAAAATGATGAAACAAATTTGAAATGAATAAAATAAAAGGAATTGGGGAGTTAAATTTCAAAAAAAAAAATCTAAATTCTATTTGTATTTCTACCATAGATCAGGTGTTTCCATTGCAGATGTGGCATAGAGTTAGGGTCGGTCAACATACCAGTCACCCTGGAGGGCCCACGATAAGTCCATCAACATCAACAGGAAGAAGCAGCTTTTTCCATAAACATCTTGTAGAGATGAGCTCTAGTGGCTGAATAATTGTGACAATGTCATCAAATGTGGGTTCGTTGTCGCAGAGATTGAAGAAGAGGGAGAAGTTTGTAGCGACGACGGCGGTGGTGGATGACAGTGAGAGTCGGAACCCGGTGGCGTTTGGCCGGAGAGTTTTCGGATCTAGATTATATATAGATCAAAGAAGATTATATATATACATATATACATATATATAGCCACAAATTATATATATACATTTTTCTCTCTCCTTTCTCTATTTCTCTCTCTAAATTGATGTGTTACTATCATAAGAAATTAAGAGAAAGAGAACAAAATCAGAATCATCACATTTCTCCTACTGTAAATGTGATGATTTATTTTGTGACTGAAATGTGATGATTTTGTGTAAATTGATGAACTTAGGAAATATAATTGAAACTCTTCTCAAATGCACAGTTAAAACTCTTCTAAAATGCACAGTTGAATGAGAAATAGTAACTGAAGGGTTATATATACAAGGGTAAATTAGTCTTTTTACATCTGTCATTAACGGTGTTAACGGTGCACTTTACTCCATCAACCACAGGGGGTTATATGGTGATATTCGAAAATCAAGGAGGTAATCCGCATATGGTCTAAACCATAGGGGGGTAAAGTGAAGTTTGTCCTACATTTTATTCTTTTCCTTGCTAGATATTTTGCCCACCAAAGGTGATTTTGTAATGATCTTCGCACTTAGTTTTTATTAACTTATGTTAGCATGACTTGGTGTTGATATGTAGCTTTCAATATATTTTTATCTTGAAGTTGGGAGTGTTTGACAAACATTGTGTTCATGTATACTTTTTTTGTTCATGTAAATCTTTAATGAATGTTCTATGGTGAAGCATATAGGGAGCCAGATGGACCTTAGAATGCCTTGGCCATTGCCTTTTTTTTCTTGCCTTGCTTGAATAGTAGTATTGGATTGGCTTTGGTGTACCCATTGGCAAAATTGTTATTTAAATTTATCGTTATTTGTCAAACAGTTCTTGGTCATTTTTAGCTCTTCAATAAACTAATGTTTATACAAAACTGGTAATCTTATGTCTATATGACCTATCTAGAAGAGTGAGAAATCCATCTTGCATAGCGACATGCCTTTCATAGTCATAAGATGGTCATCTTTGCATTGGTGGTCTTTGCCTTGGGTCTTGGTACGGCCTTGGACTTAGTTTAGTTAGTTTCATAAAAATCAGGTAACCTTGTGATACTAAATTTTAATTTGATGATGATTGTAAAACTTTGTGAATGGTTTTGTTGGATGGACATTAATTTTTTTTTTTTTTTTTTTAATCGGTAAAGAAAATTTTATTAGAATCATGAAATTAAAAGTACGTGAAATACATTGAAAGAGATTCTAATAGAGAACAAACTCTACTACTATGGCAACTCATACCCACACCAACAAATCCTCAACCTCACGATTTAACAAAATAAGAGGAAGCCAACAGACAAAAACAAGCAAAAAAAGGAAAAAAAAAAAAAGAAGAAGATTTTAACTAATCAAAAGAACAAGCAACAGTCAAGTAAACGCTGAAAGACTCAAACTGCATCAATGACATTCACCACCTAAATGTTTTGTAGCAGCATCCTAGTTGCACCCATAAATTCTTCCTTGAGTAAAGCCACCTTGTTTGGTTGGGTTGGAAAATTTAGAGAGTGATTTGAAAATAGAAAAGGAGAAAATATATGAAATTAAGTGAAATATAAATATATTTTATTTTTGTTTTACTTATCATTTCTATTTTTTCTTTCCAAATCCCTTATCAAAATTTCAACCAAACACAATGTTAAAAATGGGCTTGTTTGGTTGGTTTTTGGGAGAGTTGTTTTTGAAAAAAAATTTAGGAAGAGAGTTTAGAAATTTTTTTAGTTTGTTTGGCTGTATATTCTAGGAGAACTATTTTTTTGAGAGTTTGGGATGATTTGATATTTTGGGAGAATTTGAATATATGTGTGTGAGAGAAAAAGTGATTGAGAATGAGAGAGGAGTGAGAAAAAGTGATTGATTGATGTGTAAGAGAAAGAAAGTGATTTTGAATTTTTTTTGAGAAAAACTCAAACCAAACAATTTAAATTTTTTTTTTTTTTTTATAAAACTCATCTCCCAAATGCAAACCAAACATACACATATCTTTATCTTCATGGCTGGATTTAAGGTAAATTACAAATGCACCTCTTGAAGTTTGATTAAAATACGAATCGCCCTCTGTGGTTTTAGAAATTACATTCTAACATCTGAGATTTCTAATATCATAACAAATAGCTATTTTTATTAATAAATTATCAAGTCAATTAACAGTTTTTAATGATGTTAGAAATATGTTTCAATTAATAATTTAAGTAATTTTATTTTTTATAAGAGAACAATTATAAATTTTAATTTTTTAGTTGATTCTGTTAAATAAAAAATACTAACAAAAAAATATTTGCAATTTTTTTTTAAAAAAAAAAAAAAAAATCTGTCCTTTAAGCAAAACCTCTGTGTTTGTAATTTACCCAATAATTTATTGGTATACCAAAAGCAAACTCGAAAAAAACCATCTTTATCTTTTCCAAAACAGAGGATCACAATTTTCTTCTCCCCACTAATTTACTCATATGTTTCCGACTAGTTCTCTCCTTTATATCTCTAAATTTCTTATTCCTGGATTTGCTTCAGAAATCTGCACATCCACGAGGAATTTCTCGATCTCCAGCCTTTCCAAATCCAATTCTTCAATTCTTTCGTTTGTCTTTGTTGTTTAGCTCAATCTCAATACACTCTTGAAGGAACATGTCTTCTCTGTTACAAAAAGTCAATTTGTAAATCCGTGGGCATTAGCAGGGTTTGTTCTGCTTCGGCTCGAAGGAGATTGTATTCCTCTTCTTCATCCTCATCAAAATCGATGGGATTGTGTATGATACGCTTATTGCATAATCTGATGGTGTTGGAAGAGATTGATGATTGTGAGGATTGCTGAGTGCGAACAGTGGCCGCTTCCCTTAATTTTCGATTTGTGCCTTTGTTGTATCTCCCTCTCCCTTTGCTCAAGAATTTGAGAGGTAGCCCTAACTCAAGGAGTGAAAGTTTCTTCCTTACTTTCTTTGCTTTTTGGGCTTCCTTTTAAGTAATAGTCGAATAAAATTATTAATATGGTGTTTAGTTAAATAATTAAAGTATGGATTAATAATCTATTTAGATATGGTATTCTATATATGATGGATTATTCAATTTCATAAAGGGATGTGACATAAATTGGAGAACTAAATAAGTCAAAGTCTAAACTATTAGTCATTTCTTATAATTCTACCTCAATCTAAACATAGGATAGAATACATAATCTAAAAAGATTCTTAGTCTTAGAATTATTAATTATGAGAATGTTAATATAACCTAATCTAATCCGTCCAAACAATGTTAACGTTCAGATTACCCTTCTCTCCATCACCGAAAGAGGACGAATCATCGTCTGACTCTTTTCGAGTAGGTGGTACGTACTCAAGTGCCCAAAATGTGAATCCTTCGAAATTCACATTAGGGTTTAGGGATGGACATTAATTCGATGTCTAGTTGTACCAATTTTCAAGGTTTTTTTTGTATATTTCGATTGGTCTTGCCTCCCTTGTCTTGGAGTTGTGTTATCTTACCGGCCTTGGCCATGCTTGGGAATGGAATTTTTGGGTTAAAATAGAATTAAAATATAAAATAGTTAATAAGATAATATGTCACATCAAATTT